TAGAGCAGGGCTGTGCAGGGAGGACACACCCAAGCGAAGCACTCTGCGTGATCCTGCAGACTGCTTACACACGCACAGCTTCCCGTAAGGCCCCCCCCCCCACTGGCCACTACATGTGCCGTCATCCCATACGCGGTGTTCCTGCAAATAATCGGCCCCACTCCGCAAACCTGGTGACGCGCTTAGAGACGGCGTGGAAGTCATTACCGCTCTTTCCCAGCAGTAAAAGTTCGTCCAGAACATAAACAGCTCGGTAGTTAAGGAAAAACACTAAGCCAATGATTAAAAGAACAAAAAAAACCCTTTAATGGCATTAGCTAATGGGGTTTTAAATCCCAGAAGGGTCACCCTGACCACAGTGCAGGAAGAGCCCTTCGAGTCGCTCGGAATCGGACGTGTTCGGCACGAGGCTGGCAATTCACGATCCTCGTCTCTCCCCCCGCCCCCCGATCATGGACCTCTTGCCCCAACGCAAAACAAGCTCCCTTCACCAGCACCCATATGACTACAAGCTAGGCCTCACACTTAATTACACCACCGGGGGTTCATCAATAACCCAGGTAATGCGGACGCAACTTTCACTCACACTTTCCAGAGAGTCATTAAGTTCTCAGTCATCAATAATAATCAACCGGCATGATCAGACTGCAATCAGGTTATTTACCTCACGGCAAATGAAACCAGCTTCTGGAAGCGGTTAATTATTCATATATTATGTGGACTTTTGCCAACATGCAATGAATGCTTACAAGATCGAAATCCAAGCCGGCGTGCTGATTATTCAGCATAATCTGGGGACCTGGTGGCTACGTGACATGCCTCATGCGTCGCCATAGGAGACAGTCGGCATGGAAACGTAGAGGGCCAGGAAACTGGCTTCCCAGACAGCGACCACACGGACAGTAGAGAGCATTGAGTCTGATGGCATCCTAAGTGCTTCTTCAGGTAAAGAGAGCTCATTGATTCACCCCTGGATTCCACTGGAGGCAGCTACGCAGGCCTGGAATAAAGCAATACAGGCCTGTTGACGGCCTGTGGTCCGGCGGTTATGGAAATTATATTTGGTGAGCCTGGCACACAGCAAGCTCACATAAAGACTATTACGTATTAAAGAAAAACTTTATATAATGGCTATTAAAAGGAGCTGTGAAAAAATCTCCTCCTTTTCCCCAAGGTTTCTGCTCGTCGCGTT